CCCACTCCCCAGATTCCCCGCCCGTTCTCTCGCTCCAGGGGTCTTTGGCCTCCCTACTCCACCGAGAGGCCTTTTTGCGGTCCCCGCCCGAGACTCCCCTGAAACCAAATCGAAGGCGGTGCCTCTCCACCCTCCCCGAATCCACGGCTCATGGGCACGCCTCCTTCTCAAACCCTCTCCTCCCTCGGTTTCCCTCTGAACTTCCCTGGCACTTCACCTAGGGCGCTCTCCCAGGCTTCTTTGCAGGCCCTTCCTCCTCTGCGCATCTCCGGGGGCCGGACCCCCTTCCCCTCCCTCTCCACACTGTCACTGTAGGTGACCCCTCCCCACAGCCCAAGAGTCCCACTGGTATATGTTTACCTGGCTGGTAAATTTCACCTGCACAAAAAGGAACGTGTATTTGTGCCCTAAATGTTGCCACCCTCACTCCTATCGTGCCCCTCAAATACTTCCCCCTTAAGAACTGCCCCCCGCCCCCCTCTCCTTCATAGAATTGATCACTGAATGGAACTTTTTGTTGGCATTGTGTAGAGCACGCCTTCCCTTGTGGAGAGAAATAAGACCACCAGTGCAGCATATACTTTGTCTCCTCCCCAGGAGCAGCCAGCTCACTTATTCTCAAAATGTGGTCCTTCTACCCCCGCCCCCAGCATCACCTGGGAACTTGTTAGAAATGCAAATTCTCAGGCCCCACCACAGACCTACTGAATCAGAAATTCTGCGGAACGGGCCCCAGCAATCTGTATTTTAACAAGACCTCTAGAGGATTTAAGGTTTGAGAACCACTGACCTAGCACAAAGTCTGGTGCTCCATAACTTTCAGCTGAATTAAAGTATCATACATGCGGTAAATGTTCAGTACTAATAAGCTTCTTTCAGAACTAGGGATCCCCTGGGGAGGCATCAAAATCAGGGCTAGGTTATTGTGAAAAACAAATATTGTGCATGTTCTTATGTACATAGACTATCTCTGAAAGGACAGACAATAAACCAGTATTGTGGTTATCTCTAAGGAGGGGATCCAGCAGGCAGGAATTGGAGTAAGAATTTTCACTGAATACTTTTTTACATCTTGTGTATTTTGTAATGTGCATCCTATCAACTCAAAAAATAGACAACATGTACTTAAAACTCATGGAACCAAGAAGGGGTTCCCTTTCTCATCCCCTTCTCTGGATACAGCCAGGTTCCTACCCTCTAGGTAGGCCATGGAAGAGCAAGGCTACTGTGTCACCAGAGGAACTCTGCCCCCTGCTGGCTGTTTCTCCACATGACCTGAGGGTCTTCTCTGCCCCCTCTACCCTTGTCTCCTGCGCTTCTCTCCTCGGTGGGCTCCAGTCACCATGCACTCAGTTCCTCAAACTCTGATTTGGCCATGGGACCTTTGCACATGCTGTTCCTCGCACCTGAAACTTTCTCTCGACCCAGTCTGACTCACTCCGATTCATCCTTCCAATCTTTAGTGCTCCTTATCCCAGAAAGCCTCCCCTGATCAACACCCCTGAATGAGACCTGTCACACAGTCTCACAGCACCTGGAACTTAAAAGGGTATTCTCAGTTGTAGCACTTATATACAATTGTGGGTTTGTGTGATTATTTGATTTGATGAGTGTCTGCCTCCTCCACCATAGGGCAAGGCCCCCTATGATGAGGCTCATACCTACTTTACTCTTAGCTGTATCTCTGTCTGGTCCTGTTTGCCTGTCTCTGCCTCTGACCACAGGACCATTCCCCCAGATCCCTCCTTATCCTTAGATGGCTTCCTTTCCAGCTCTTCTGTCTTGAGTCCTGCAGGTAGTTGGAATATTTTTTTACATCTTTTTTTAGCCTGTCTCATTTGTACTGTGAAAATACTTGTGAAAGTACTGACTTAGGCTTGTTAGGAGAATGTAGAGAGATGTAAAGAAATTAGAGAAAAGGCCCCATAGTAGCCGCATAGAAGACCTAGCAAGTGCCTTCCTGATAGGGCCCTATAAGCTTAGGACAGTGGCTGGGGTCATTTCCCTTACTTGACTCTTCCCAGAAGCATTTTGAGAAGAAAGTTATCTGGGATTTCAGATCACTCTTTAAATAACATTAGTAACAGGTTCTATTTTTTAGGACAAACCTTATATTAATTGCTATGCACGCACTGTCCCATTTAATTCTCATATCATTCCTGTCAGGCAGCAACTGACATTATTATCCCTCCCCCCTTAGAAACCAGGACACTGAGGCTCAGAAGTAACATACTCAAGGTCACATAGTTATTAAGTAGAAAAGTCAGGTCTGTTTTTATTCATTCTTTTACGCAGTCAGCAATTATTTACTGAGTGTCTCCTACCTGCAGGCCCTGTGCTCAGCAGTTGGGGTTATAATGTTGAGAGTGAGAATACAGGGATTTGACTAGTCAGGGGGATCTGGTCTGGGCAGCCTTCTGGGAGGAAGGAACGACAGAGCTGGAGTATGAAGATGGGGAAGAGATGTTTCCAAGGACTGAGCGTTTGGCTGAACTCTTCTGCCCATCTTTGAGGGCTGACTTCACCCACAACTGAAACCCCAGGGCTGCAGGGCCACTTAGCTGCTGATTGGATCTCCTGAGAAGGGGAACTCACTACCCTGAGGCCTGTGACAGAAAGGGAAATTCTGGCCCTAGGAAGTCCACATGGTCCTGACATATTTCAGAACCCAGGGCTGAGGATATGCCCAGAGGACTCATCTCCTCTGTTCTCTCCCTCCTCCCAAAGCTAAGGGCTTTCCTCTCCTTGTCACACTGGCCAGCTCCAGAAGCATTGCTCCTTGCCTTTGGAAGAGCTGCCAGTCCTCTGTGGCTCAGGAATGGTGGCGGGGAAGCAATCACAGAGAGCTCAACAGAGCTGCGTGAGAGCTCTGTGTGGGAACACAGAGGAGACCTAATTGTCCCTTGGTGGGAGGTATTCAGGAAGGTGCCACTGAAGAAATATTTGAATGGGATCTTGAAAGATGAATAGGAATTTGAGGATGGGTTGGGTGAAGTCAGTGACATTCCAGCTTGACGGAACCAAGGGTTCAGGTCCTGGTATTTGACTGACAGGTTGCAATCCCCATCAGTCCTCGGTGATTTCATTAGTGTACGTTAAGGACAATATTGGAGCTACTTGATAGAGCAGTGTGAGGCTTATACGACATAGCGTCAATGTAAATCTCTCAGAACAGTGGCCGGCACAGATTAAGGGTGAAATACAGGTTAACCCATGTTGGTAAGGGACAGCCACCTGCAAGTGCAAGGAAGCGTTGCAAATCCTCCTGCATAGCAGGTGAGGTAATGGGTGTGGTGAGGAATGTGGGCAGGGGTCAGAACAGACAGGGATACGAATGCGAGGATGAGGACTTAAAATTAAGCAAGGAACGACACAGAGAAGCCAAAGGATTGGAGGGGCTGGTGGGGAGAGGGGAGGGCGGGCAATGAGCGGCCAGTGAGGAAGCTGCGGTATAACCCGGCAGGGTAGAGGCAGGCAAAATACCAGTGTTCTTGTTCTTTGTCTTAAAGCAGGCCAGGTAGGGCTTAGACACTGGGCGGCAGCCGCGAAGAGTTACTCCCTGAGGGGGTCGCTGAGGGTGGGCACTCCGGCAGGCCCAGTGGCCACTAGCCGCGCGCCACCTGGTGGCCGCTGGAGATGGGTTCAGCCGGGAACAGCGGAGACACTGCAAAATCCAGGATTTTGCTCCCGGAAAGCTTCGGAAACTGAGGCGGGGGTTAGGGTGCAGGGTTTGGGATCTTCCAACTGGACTCACTTCCTATTCCGACCCCATTTTACAGATAGAAAAACTGAGGAGAGGGAAAGGCGAACAAGGCCAGTAAAGAGGCCCTTCTTTAACGTAGGGCTCCAAGACACCTGGAGTCAAGAGCCTGAAGCTTTCTTTAATGGCATCAATGGCCGGGAGCTTAGTTTGCTCATCGGTTCTATGGGCAGGGGGGAAATGAAAAAGGAGGAAGAAAAACTATAGTCTTTCCCGCCCACCCGTAGGTAAAAGGCTTTAAAGACTACCCCGGAAAGCAAAGCTGTATAGATTCTATTTGCATACGAACGCAGTCACCTCGAGTGAAACTCCCGTCCTTTAATCTCCGGTCCAATTTGACCTGCAGCCGCGGAGGAAGGCCCTCGTGAATACCTCCAAGCCCCGCCTCCCAGGGCCACGCCCACAGGGCTGGGCTTCGTTGCACGTGCTCACCCGGCTCCTTCGCGATCCGCCTCCTTGGAAAGACTCATTGTTAGAAAGGGGTAATACGAGGGTCATAGGGAGATTTGACCTCGGATAAATTACAGTAAAGAAAAGGCCCTGGAGTAATCTTTTATTAAATATTTCTCAGAAGTTTTATCAGGGTCTGTGATGTCTATAGGCCTTGACTTTCCCTCCTCAGGGCTGCTTATCTTTTCTCTCACCCCTACAGTTGGTAGGGTCCCGCGCAGCCGGACTCGCCGGGCGGACTCCACTTCCCAGCGTGCCCCGCAGGGCCGTGCGTAGCAGCGGCGCGTGACGTCAGGGGAGGGAGCTGGCCAGTGCTGAGGGGGCGCGGCGCGGAGGGGCGCGGAGCCGGGAGGCTCGGGGGCCAG